TCGTAATTAAATTTATTTTCAGCAGATTAAAAATATGGAGTACAAGTACTAATGGACATTTTTTTACTTTATCAATGATGACCGGGGAAAATACAAGTTTCATTATGTCAAATGGACTTGCCCTGTTTTCAAGATAAACGACTCAAGTATCGTACCAGCTGCTACTTTTTAAATCACATTCCCAGAAACGTGAATTTGCATAAAAATCCGCGTACGATTGAATCATGCGAGAACCGACTAAACTTACGATGCCTTAAAGAAATCACGTGCAGTTCAAACACTTAAAGAAATTTAATACAAGTGAAAGAATTGCAACGCAGCTTCCACTTTCAACTAAAGTGAAGTGAAACTAATTAATTCGTCGAGGATATAAAAAATTGAATGTGAAAATTGATTAAATACACATTCCGAAGAAACGGATGCGATTGTGGCAAATAATCCAACGAATCAATCTGTATGTCAATCATGTCGAAAGTCACGAGGGAACGAATGCAAACACGATGAAATTGACATTATGCTACCGTTCGCAAATGTGTCCAGGCTCGTTACGTTCTTTTTTTTTTTTTTTCTTTTCGTGCAGGCGAGTCGCGCGTTGCATACCTAACGCGCAATTAACCCGCGTGTAATTTCACTCTCGCTTTGTTTGTCTCGCGCGTAAAGTCCATCCGGCTGACCTCTGATAAAGAAGGAATGAAAGGAAGGGAGCCAAAGGGGTAAGAAAACGCCCGTAATTAGACCCTAACGCGGCTCGAACTGTCGCGACAGATGCACTTAACTTTTGAGAATAAAACGGTCACGAAGCATCGAGCACGAGTTCTTAATTGCCACGAAATACGATCGAATCAACGAAAGTTACATCTTTTTACTTGGTTACACCGCGGAGTGTATAACAAAATTAATAAAACCTGTGCCTCTCAGAAGAAATTCGAATTTTTGTTGATACGTTCTAACAGTATCCAAGTGACTCTTCCTCGTTCGAAAAGAAATGCAAGAAATGTTATATATCGTTTCATTAAAAAATTGTATGCACATTGAGCCCTCTAGAAACTATATTGATCAACTGTATAAATTAAAAAAAAAAAAAACGCAAAAGAACAATGACATTGTAGAAAGATCGCTTTTCTAAATTCACCTTCGAATCTGCCATACTTTTTCGACGGACGAACCCACGAAACTAAGTCGTTTGTTTCTTAAAAATTGAATATTACACGTATGTAGTGAAATTGAAAGAAAAATGGGCTTGGCATTCGCGAGATGAATTTTCTTCGGGACAATTATTATTTCAAATGATTGGAACACGACGATTGTTCGCGTTCGGCTGATCTTTCGTTCGCTTTAAAACCCCGTGCAGTGAATGGCGGATTCGAAGGTGTGGAATCTCGAAGACACTCGGGGGGATCGAAAAGCGAGAAATGGAAGAAGTGGCGACGCGAAGAGACCAATAGACCGGCAGACAAAGCCGGCGAACACGGAAAAACAGGTCCGCGGGGGAAGGTTCGATGGCTTTTTAGAATTTTTAATAAGCGACATCGCCACCACGCCTGAGATTCTCTCTGCGAGAGCGGAAATGTAAATTCAGCGCTTTCGCCAGCTTGGAAGGGAAGAACTGACTGGCCTCTTGTAATGCCGACATTAAAATTGCAAACCATGCAACCAGCACAGCGAAGCGCCTACGTCTTCCCCGAGATTGTGTGTCTCTCTTTATCCACCCTCCCCCCTCCCCCCTCTTCCACCCTCGCGTGCGCACAACACGTACAATTTCCCTTCCCAGTCTTTCAATCTCTCTCTCTCTCTCTCTCTCTCTCTCTCTCTCTGAGCATGATTGTCCGCGGAAATCTTCAAGTACCGACGTGGAAACACTGTTCGAGCAGCAGTAAATGAAAGCCAGCCGCTCGTGGAAACGCGTCTGCGGATGCGTCATATTAAAGTCTGGCATTGTTCGCCTCGAATGCAGACGACGCCGGGAAAACTGAGTTAGTAAGAAAAAGAGGGAGAGAGAGAGACGGAGAGGGACGGGTGCAGCGAGGAACGAGGGATGATCGGGGATTAGCCGGGATCCGCGATTTCAAATTATTATAGGCGCGCGGTCTGCCCTCTGGGAACGCGAATTTGCGGCTTTATAAAGCGGCGCAACATTGCGATTAAAAACCCGAGATAAAAATGTATCGTAAATATCGAAAATCCATGCCGGTTAATTTTAACGTTTGCACGTCCGACCGCGGATATATGTGTCTTTATATACACAGCTCTCTGAATATATGCAATGTATAAACAATTAGAAACAAGCGAATTACCGTAGCGCGTTAGTGATTTAAACGGTCACTCGGATTAAGTATAAGTGTAGATACGTCGTCTCTGACGAATTTCACCTGAGCATTGTGGAAAGCATAAAAAGGCAAAATGGATCGGGAAAGACCTTGGGCACACGTACGTGGTAAATAAATATTTCGGTTGACCGATCATGACTAATGGCTGACATAAACAAAATAACCGGCAACGCGACGAACACGCGACTCGATTAACGTCTCGTCGATACCACGTTAAATTCACGTAATATTAACACGTGCAGACGCGAAATTTTCGTCGTGATGTAGACTCGATATCGAAAACAAGTGTCTACGAGACTCGATCTCGCGACGAGGTAAGCGCAGCTCGCTCGCGAGTGGCTAGGTGAGCATCGCGATAGTAAACGCGGTTTAACAGCAATCAAGTTGTAAACTTACCTACGCACATCCGTTAACAGGATAGCCTGACGAGGCCGACACGTGTTCCGGGGTCGATTCTTTGTCAACACGTATCGCCACCGAGAACTGACAGCACAACGTAACAACACACGAAACAAACCAGCCGGCCGGTCGCGCACCGACTACGAAAACTCGTTCGCATTTGCGCACGATCGCGCCCAATCAACATGGATGCCCGTGGCGCGCTCTGTCGGACAAATGTCACATAACATTTTCCACACGTAATTCAAAAATCAAGTCTGGCGAATCAACTTAACGCAAAAGCGTAATTCTACGTGATAATTTGCAATATTCGAACAAGTTTCTTTACGAATTAATAAACTTTCAATGAAGATAGAGAGACAGAAAAAAAAAACGATGTTAAAGGAATAATTGTCATACAGAATTATACGGAATAATATTTTATTCTTAACGAAACATTTCATTATGAGAATCTAGTTTACTTAGATTTCGTAAGGATCACTGTAAATAATGTGATATAAAAAACATATAAATTAAGGGATATTGGCAAGGTAATCCTTGACGTTCGAAGGTTCCAATCTTCTGAAACCATTTGCATCGCAAATACCAACTTCTATGTTATCAGAGGTCATCTGTCCCTCGAATCCTTCCTTCAAAGTTAAAATGGCAGTGTGAACGGCATCGTCCAGTTCCAAATCCTCGCTGTATCTTTTCTCGAGGAATACTTTCCCATTGACAAAGTTTTTGCCCATTGCTGTAGCCTTCCACGCAAAGTACGCACCAGAAGGATCACACTGATATAAACACGGCTTTCCATTGTCCCAGCCACAAATTAGCAAAGACACTCCGAATGGTCTGACTCCACTATAGTTTTACAATATGTTAATTATACACAATTGTGTAATAAATTAAGAATTTATGTCAATAATATGTACCCAGACTGTGTATATTCTTGCATCAGCATGGCAACTCTTTGCACCAGCTGTGCGGTTGGTATTGGTTCTTGGTAAATGAGTTGATACTGCTGTGCAATTTTACGTGCCTGCTTTACTAGTAATCTATAATCTGGACCCATCCCACTGTAGACCATACCAATATGTTTTGTAATCATTTCTACTTTCTTCACACTGTGTTCATCGTACAATATTGATTTGTGCTTGTTTTCTGTGGCAAGAACGACCCCGTTTGAGGCTTTGATACCAACACTGGCAGCTCCGGCAGCCACCGCAGCTAAGGCATATTCTATCTGCACCAGTTTCCCAGAGGGACTATGTAACAAAATAAATTGTATGTGACATTTATACCTTGAAAGTTATGTTGTATAGATATTTGACGAGTCATTGTATACTTCGTTGAAATCAATTCACTACTGGTCAAAGAGAAGACCACGTAATATTCATTTTTATAAGTAATGTTAAATAAATAAGAGTGTAAAGAAAAATGTTCTCCTTTGTTATTGTATATTTAATGATAAATCTTATAAATTTATGAGTATATCTTATGTATAGGTTAGGTCAGTGAAAACTTCTACTAATCTATTAAAATGTAGGAAGTGGATGATATTTATTACGAAATTACATTTGCTGGTTAAAATCTAAAAGAAGAATTTTTTATGAGAAGTAATTACATTTACCTGAAAGTTGTTAACGAAAAACTATACCGTTCCGAAGCCATGACAATTACTTTGCAACAATACAGGTTACTAAATACTATAAAACTTTCTACAAAGTTCGGCAACATGCACGAACAAAAAAGAATAGGGATTTTTATACTAGGGATATTTTCTGCAACACGTATATTCGCGGGTATATTTTTAAATTATGATTTCTGTACATTTTTACTTGAAAGAAAATTATGATTTATTTATATTAAATTCTACAATTATAAGTTAAAATTTTAGAAATATCGCATATTCTCGAGATAGTTTATCTATCGATGCATGTTTGATTAAAGAAACGAATATGCAGAATTAAAAATTGCTTCTCTACAGCAGCATCCAACTTCAAATAAAAGGATGTCAATTTTGTGACAATATTTAACTAAATATTTTAAACGAATATCATCGAAAAATAAGATCTATCGTAATAAATTCTTCTACAATTTGCATTTATGCATAATGCAAAATTCTGCACGGCATTACAGAAAAAATATGTTCGATACACTCGTGTAGTTATTCCGTTTATCAAATTAATTTCAAAATATAATAGTAAAAATAATCTATCGAACATAGAGAAATGGCCAATGGAGATAAAAAAGACACCAAAAGTCAAGTAGAAGAATTGTACGCATGGATCTCTAAGATTCCTCTTTCAAAACCAACAAAAAATTTGTCTCGAGATCTTTCGGATGCTGGTAGTTATCATACGAGACAATATTAACTGAAATATAACATTAATAATATTAACTAAATAATTAAGAATTATGTTCTTCAGTAATGATGGCGGAAATTCTTAAAATATATTATCCTCGTTACGTTGATCTCCATAATTACGTGTCGGTGAACAGCATAACTGCGAAAAAAGAAAATTGGAACATGCTAAATCGGAAAGTACTAAGCAAAATTGACATGAAATTAACTAAAAGTGTTATCAATCAATTGGCAAATTGTCATCCTGGAGCTGCTGAAAATATGTTGCTAGAGATAAGAAAGAAAGTCGTGCAAGATGGAATTGATCTTCAGATTCCTCAAAAGGAACCGCAAAACGATTTTGTCGAAGAGGGTAGTGAGAGCATTAAATAAATTATTGTAATAAAAATCGATAAGACTTTACGTAGAATGTCAAATATTAATATTATTATAAGTAAATTCCTATCAATTTTTGTAAAAATAATTTAATTCATATATCATTAATGCGATGAATTAAATGTAGTTCAAACATTAAATAGAAATGTATAATTTTTATATAATGTATAATTTAATATTCTAAAAATCAATAGGAATTTATATCGTAATATTTCTAAAGCGCATGATGACATTATTTAGGTGACATACCAGATGAATCAGTGTCAAGTCCTGTTGATCAATCAGCTTCGAAATCTCTTGATCCTAAGACATCAATATTCTCACGTGCTAAACAAATGATCTATTTTATCTTGGGATGGTTCATGAGTTGGCTGTGCGTCTGGAATTACTTTCAAGACACGAAATTTCAATTAACGAATCAACTTCGAAATTTATGTAAGTTGGACGTACTGCACGCCTCCATCTAAATTAGAACACGGGGACGAGGATTAAGAATACGTGCATAGACGAATTCTTCTGAAAAAAAATTCCGACATATTTTTCTCTGCTCATTAAAGTGGAAGAAAATGCCAAGGCGTCCGACAGGGAGAATATCAACGAGGAGAACGACGTCCGCGTGAAAATAGTACAAAAAATGCAGGAGCTTCACGTCATGATGTGCAACTTAAATCACAAGCTTACGTACCTCGAAAGTATAACGAAGTTGAAAGACCTGTGAATATACAATCTAACGTCGCAGACCTTCGAGAACACCGTGGAATCCGAGCAATTTGCTAGAAAAAACATGATGAGTTTAAGAAAAAGTGAAAAGTAGAGAAATAATGCCAAGGATAATAAATAAATATCATTACCATAGAACAGACTCGAATATTTGTCGCTTTGTTTTCTTTAAAAACGCGAACGTTCCATATGATCATCGCGTCGTTACGAAACTTTTGCGCAATTTACATTCACTTTCACGGGACTCGTAGTAAAGGATCTTTCGTGCAAAGAGCATCATAGTGTCTGGATGTTAATAAATATCTAGCATAAAATAAATTGAGGAAAATCTGAAAACGCGTAAAACTCCACCAAATATTCACTATTTTTTCGTTTCAATGTCCAAGGGAAATGCTTATAATGTACATATATGTACAACGTGTTATAAGGAACATGTAACGAAGCGAAGTTTTTTCCTTCTGAAATACGTCATCGCCGGCTTAAAACTACGACAAAACAAAAATGTGCACGCTGTTTGACTACGCTCGACATTGTACAGGGAAAAAAAGAAACATACTTGACACGGACTACGTGAATGCGTGTACAACTGTATATTGAAGATCCTCGAGATTGAAAAATGTAACGAGCTCTTTTTCAGAACCGGGCTACGGGGAACTTGACATTAAGGTTCACATTCGTAAAAGCCACTCTCTCATCACTGTTCTCTCGACGAAGAACGAGAGAGTGGGGTGATACTTGCTGCAGGGTCACGTATTGCAATGTCAGTATGGAGGCAACACTCTGGTAGAAACGGCGTGTTAGTGCCTGGATTCTCGAGCCGGTCTGAATGAGAATTTGGTGAGCAACTGGTGTGTAAGTATAATTCAACGTTAAATTAACAGAATTTTTCTGCCGGCTTCTCTCTCGTGCTCGCTGCTTGACACTATTTACTGTTGCTCGTTTGAAATCCGACCGTACGTATATGCTATTTTTATCTATAATCGCATTAATATATTCACCATTCTTTCGATCGTTGAAAATAATACCGCGTAACGTTTCCTACGCTTGTTGACGAATACAATAAACGCAAGTTCCGTGAAAGATTTGCATTGACTTGCAGATATTGTGTAATTAATTAATATAATGTACCTGAAAATTACAATAATTATTACACTACGTTGTAAAAAAAAAAAAAATTGCAGTTTAGATGATAAATATTTGAAAAACATTGTTGAAAATGAAGAGAACGACAATGCCCGATATCTCTAACGATCCATGTTCACGGTCATCGACCTGTTACTAGGCGTTTCTTCGGGAGACTTTAATGCCGCGTCGTGTCGCAATGGAATTTCAAAATTTTCCTCGTCAAACATACCTACAGCATACTGCCGTGCGCAAATATAAATATTACGAAACCTGTATGTCAGAAATCTGTTTATTATTTGTTGGCAACGTATCATCAAAGTCTATGTCTAAAATTATTAATTATTAATTGAATCATACGCTACTCGTTTAGATCATGTTACTGAAAATGGTGAATTGCACGACGCTGTGCAGCGTAATTGCAGCCGCATTCCTCGTCGTGCTCCTGTTCCTGCTGGCGGTGTACTTTTACCTGCAGTATTCGTTCGGAGTGTGCAAGAGCAAGAACAGAATGGACGGGAAGACTGTGATAATCACTGGATGCACTTCCGGTATCGGGAGAGAAACGGCGAAGGACATAGCGAGAAGAGGAGCAAGATTGATTATGGCATGCAGAAATTTGGAGGCAGCGAACAAATTGAAAGGTCCGTCTTAAACTTACTTCACTTAGTGTGCAAAATAAGGATAGGAAAGAAGTTTGTAATATGATGAGGAACATAAGTTTTTGTTTCTATACAATGGCTCACGAAAGTAATGTCAAATATTTGAAAATGTACTATGGAAAAAAATTTTTTGTACACGTGTATAATATGTGTTTTACGTAAAAGATATTAAAGTTTTTGTAACATTGTGATGAGAAACGATCATCGCCATTGCATTAGTAAAATTTCGAGACCGATCTGAAGATGTGTGTAGAAGTTAACAGATATTTATTTCAATCGTATATTTAATGAAAATATTGATATAAAGTTTATACAAATGCAACGTACGTGATTACTTGTACATACAATTATAACCGATATTTCGTGAAAAAAAAAAAAACATATATCAACTTGTCTTGTTTCACAGACGAATTAATAAAGGAATTTGGTAATGAAAACATCGTTACACGAAAACTAAACTTGTCGTCATTGTCCTCGGTGAGGGAATTTGCACGGCAAATCAACCGTGAAGAATCCAGATTGGACGTGTTAATTCACAACGCGGGAACAGCAGAAGTATTTAGAAAAGAAGTGAACGAAGATGGACTGGAAATGACCATGGCAACGAATCACTATGGTCCATTCTTACTCACGCATCTTTTGATCGGTAAGATAATATTCTTTTCTTTTCTTTTAACCCTTAAATGATATCATGATCAGAGTGTACAGTAATTTTTATCATACAACAGAAAAATTTAAAATTTTATTTTATTTTGTCTCTGATAGAGAAACTGGATGAAATTGAAGATTTTTAAATTAAGCGAAAGAAAAACTACATTTTTATGATTTCCAAGTGTCCGATGATACCAGTTAGGGGTAAAATTCTTTCCTCGTTTCTTTCTTTCAAACACTATGACCAAGTTATTTTACAGATCTACTGAAACTATCGAAACCAAGTCGAATAGTGGTTGTTGCATCGGGACTGTACTTTCTAGCAAAGTTAAACCTGAACAACCCAAATCCAGTAACATCTTTGCCTGCCTACTTGTACTATGTCTCCAAATATGCAAATATCGTCTTTACGTTAGAATTAGCACGACGTCTCGAAGGTTCTGGCGTTACTGCCAATTGCCTTCATCCTGGTCTAATAAACACGGGAATCTGGAAGAAGGTGCCACCTCCGTTCTCTTGGGCATTGACCTTTCTGCTGAAAGTATTTTGCAAAACGCCTGAACAAGGTGCGCAAACAACGATACATCTTGCAGTGTCCAGCGAAGTCGATGGAATTTCTGGCAAATATTTCTCAGATTGTCGTGTAAGCAAAAATTAATAAGTTTCTACTACAGATCGTTTTACTTTCCAGAAATGCAGCGGAGATTCCGATATTCAAATTAATAGAAAATATAATAAAAATATTAATGGAATATTCATGTAATAAAACAGCCACTGTTCTGATACTAAATTGTATATAAACTTATCGTACAGTAGATGTTATATATACTTATACTAAATGTGTTATGTAAAAAATGTTGAATTTTTTTTAATAATTAATACAAGATGTCACAAAAGATTTATAAATCAAATATATAAATACGAGATATTTATCGCAGATGTGTATACCTGAGAAAAAATTAATGTGCATTAATAGCATGATGAGGCACTTTAAGCACATGTCAAATATAATGAATGCTAAGATTTTTTAATGTAATGAATACGTACTTGTAATAACTTGCAATTTCTAAACAGTCATTTATAACATTATTAACATTCATAAAATTCTTCTATCCTCGTACAAATATTTCCGGGAGCATGATTATTCCAATGATTTATTCTAATGATTTTTATTTCAACGATGATATTATTTATTAATATTGTTATTTTTAGGAAACCAACCTTCTTGACGGAATAAAAGATCCATCGATTGGTAAGAAGTTTTGGGAGCTTAGTGAAACCATAGCGAAACTCCAGCCATCGGATCCAAAAATCTAGATGACCTAAACATATTTCATTAGTTTATATACTTAAAAAAACTGTAAATTTCCTGCCACTAAAACATTTCTAATTCAGTAAATAGACTTCTTTGTACGAATAATTTGTATTAAATTACAGGGAATAATTAGGTAATAATTGTATTAAATTACAAGAAATAATTAGATAATATTATAATTACATTAACGTAACGCTATTAAAGAATAATAAAATATTTCTCATGTTTTATATACATACATACACGTATATTCTAATTTTATTCAAAGAGACAGCAGCATCTATATATATATATATATTTTTCATCAATTCAGTACCGATCTAATAATCAGAGAAACAAGTTCTCAGTCGTGGATTCAATGTTTCACTGTACGTGGAACTGAAGGTGTTGGGAACAGTCTCTCCCATAGACGCATTCTTTCAGGGAAGAACTCGGTTTTCATGGACGGATGAAGATTGAGCTCCAAGAAATTAGTTTGCCCAGGCACCAGCCTGGTCCATTTCACATTCCTGAGTTTATCATCGTTCTTGGGAATCGGTTCGCCATTTATTACGAAGTTCGACCATATACTCGTAGAAATTTCCACCATAGGAATTTCCGGCGCATCGCTCTCGAAATACGGGAGGACGTTCTTTATGAAGAAAAGATACTGCAAATCGTCGTGATGCGATACACCTGAAAAAGATATGAATAGTTTAAAATATAATCTTCACTGTGTGTTCTTAAACAAATATAATGCTTAATTATAAATATGTGTTCTTCGAGTAAAAAGTTTTAATACTGTGACAATCTCTTCATTTGTCCAAGACTCAAGTACACAATGACATAGTATTAAATCTACATGTTTATTTTGGAATTTTTGGAAACCCTTGAAGTTCCAAAAATCTACAAAATGTATAAAATATTCAATATCTGAAAAATGCAAACAAATTTCTACTTGAATTGCATTTTTCAGTTACGTTCGTAAAAACTGCACCGTAGTCTTTATAGACAAAAAAATGAGGTAGATCATTTTACCATATGGTGTAGTGTCGTTCAGCATGTAGAAGCTCTTCCGTCCTTGGAACGTGAATTTATAAAAGTACACCGGATGTCTGCAATACGTGGCGAATAATCTGGCTGTACGGTACATAGGGAATGTAATTATAGAATCAGCGTATACCTAAAAAGGATTTCACGTTTTTGTAATATTCTCAATGAAGATAGAATTAGAGCGTAAAGAGAATCTGACATGTACCTCGGCGAGCTTTCTGTTGTTAGCCGAATTAATTGGCTCATCATCGAAATAGAATTTTCGCAATTCGCTACTAATGTAATTCGACTGTGGCGTATCACGTTCATACATAAATATGATAGGAGCGAGAGTACTCCAATTACCATCCAACGCGCGATACAGAGAACCATTACCCAACAGTTCGTCTCTTTCGTAGACT